CTCATTACCATGTTGTGGGTGCCCAAATTACCATACTGCTGACCTGAGGAGGTGGTTTATTCAACATCCACATTCTGGCAGAAGATTTGTTTAGTTTTTAAGCAGGTCACGTGTTTAATGTTTTGGTAGCTAACAAAGACTTGATTTTTTGCAGTAAGCAAAAAATCTCTGGATAAACACATAATACTGGTGGAGGTTTTAAGCTACTTGCTCTCATGTTTAGTAGTGCTGACTTCAACGGAGTGTTCATGTTAGAGATGCAGAAACCAATCAGTAGTAATATAGAAGTCTAAATATTTATATATGCTTATATTCATTCACTTAGCCAAATCATACATACACACATAGAGAGAGATATGATGTAAGTATACATGTTGACACGTTTTCAGTGACATTTCTTGAGGGCATATCTGTCACCATTCTGTAAAGCAGAACACACATATGCCTAACCCACGCGATTCTACATCCATATTAATCCAGTGTTAATTGATTTTCTTTATATATCATTTCAGCTTTGCTGCATTGTTCTGCGCATTTAGCTGGCTGATAGATACACACTCACCTTGTTATGCTGCTGGTGCTAAAACAGAAATAAGTAGTTTACTTCCTATAAAGAGGTATGTCCCACACTACACTCTTTATTGGCAGGTGATGCTACAGCAATGTCATGCTTCCATGAGTACAAGGTGCCACCCTGTGAAATACATCTGAGATTAATTATAGAAGCTAAAGAGCCAGATGCTTTCATCACTTTCTTGGAAGCATTTAGAACCGACTTGCCATCTCATGTTAACTGAATAGGGGTTTCAAAAAGGAGAATCTGATTTTATTTGCATGCATATCTCAATACAAAGTACAGACTAACTTCTTTGAAGTTCTTCTTCAAAACATCTTCAAAGGTGGGCCTCTAGTTTGTAAGGAGATATACACGTAAATAAAATCAGATTCAATTAACTTTTTAATTTGCTTCTTTAACAATAACATTGTTCCTATTAAAACACTGTTACCCTTGGAGCACTTTAGTCAACAAGTATACACAAACGCTACCACTGTAATGCTTGTTGGTGCTGTCAGGAAGAAGCCTTATAAAGGAAGAAAAAAGCAATTTCCGAACTGTGAATCATTACTACAATACAAAATTATGCAAAAGCTCAGCTAAATGGAGATAATCCAAAACACACTTTTTTTTTTTTTCTCCTGGTGAATGTATATCTTTATTCGATTCTAGGCAACAGCATTATCTGCAATAGGATTTGTAGTACCAAATCAAGACCACACTACCTTTGATTCTTTGCTCTTAACTATTATCTTTTATAAGAAATTAATTATTCACTATAAAATTACTTCAACTATGAAAACATACAATTAAAGTCTGATGCTTTTCCAATTATCTGTCCTTGTAGGCTCTGATAAATCAGATATGGAAATGAGTAATAGAGACATTTTAATAATAATTCTAATATCACGTAGTGCGCAGTGATAACAAATGTACTTGGAGCAAAACATTACCTGTGTGCTAAAACTGATTGTTGCTCTTTTCTGGGGTGTCCCAGGGAAATCACACGCTGTTTTTATACGAGTAACTAAGTTAGTGTTCTTGATCCCTCATACTGAGAGACTAAACTGCAACAGGGTTGACTGTGGAATATATTTCTGAATATAATTTTATTTTTAAAATACTTGCCTTAGTGATGGAAAGATTTTCCCTGTACTCAAAAACAGCCCATAAGACATTCTGTTTCAACTGCTTTGGTAGAAACAAAGGATACCTAGTCACTTTCCATCCTAACTGTCAAACCTCTTTGCTTTATTCTGCACACACAGAACACCATTAATCACAGAGGAAAAAACAAACCACACCTCTATCTGCAAACTGCAAGGTGGGTACATTTACTTGCTTATATAGCATGTGAGAAATGAACTGAATGAACACAAACATTTCCAAAGCTACCCTGCAGAAACAGTATTTATCTCATACAAATCTCAAAAGTATCTACATTATTGTTATTATTATCTGTCTATAAATCTTGCTTTTTCCAGTTTTTGTAGCCCCCATATACAGATGTGTGTGTGTGAATAAGAATTCTACTTGGGCATCCCTATGGGTGAGAATTCCTGACTGGCTTACAGCCTGTGTGAATTTTGCTTGCTCTTGTTTCCCTGTAACGCATGCCAAACTAGATATCAGAAGCTTTTTGTATTAAAGAATCAAAAAGATGGTAAACAACTGTTTCTGCTCCTCTACCTTTCCTTTAAGTCTTGTACCACCACCTTTTTGTTTAATGTATCTCCAATGTTACAGTTTTCTTTCTTCTCACTTGTGCCTTTTTCCTACAAGAGCTGTAGCTTACATGAGAAAACAACTTGGTTGTTTATTCCCATGAGTGAACTGTCAGTGTACCACTGGTACAGATCTCAGAACTGATCCAGCTTCTCAGACCCAAGCTGTGTCCTGCTACAAGGAATTACTTTCACTGCAGAATGGCCTTCAGTGGACATTTGGTCCCTGTCCTTCCCCTGGTCATTGCAAATGCAGTCTCTCTGTGACAGCACCCCTTTTCAGACTCGAAGTGGCCACTGAGTCTCACAACTGCAATGTCTCATGAAAGTCTTGATGAGGCACTGTTATATCTGATAGCCCCTTGAGCCTAACTCAAGACCCATAATGAGGCTTAGGATCAGGGTACAGCTGGAGAAGGTTTTTTGTTATCACAAAAGGTCTAGCCAGAGGTAGGCAGGCACCCTAACTGCACACCTCCCTGTTAAGTCATGCAATAGCTTTTTATTGAAACATACCCTTGTAAACATCAGCAAAGCCTTTGACTGGTGCTTTCTCCTTGGGTGATGCAGATTATACCACCCTTCTCAGCTAGTGTGTAAGCAACGTCTGAGAGTCTTCATCAGAAAACATACAGTTATGAATGTGTTCCTTATGTAAAAACTAAGATCTCATTGCAAGCAGAAGAAACTCAAGCTGACAGACAAATTGTAGAGATAGATGGTAAGTTCATCTCTCTAAGCAAGACTACTGTCACATGGGCGAAAAATGCCTCAAGCTACCAGCCGTGGGTAGGAAAGATGTGCCCAGCATTCAAGTCCACAAAGCCATCAATGGCAGTGAGCACTGAAGAGACAAGCGACGACAAGAAATGCAATTGTTCAAATTCCTCTCCAGTAGAGAGAACACCAAGAAATAGACTTGGGGGTGGAAGGGTGGGTATTGAACTTATTAATTGCTAAGGCTAGGCAGGCATGCCCTGCTAATATTGCCTGCCTTGAAAATTAAGTTCCTGCAAGCCAAGACTGGAACAGAGGTCGGAAAAGACACAGAGCTGCATCAAACTAAACGGGGCAGCTGGATCGTCTTCATTCAACTCGGATCGATAACCCCCCCCGAACACGTGTCGCAGGGGATGAGGCTGTATGACAGAAGAAGGAGTCCTCCTTCTTTATCAGACTTGTTATTTTCCCGCCGCTACTTCTAAATAGAGAGCTCAACAGCCGCGAAGGGAACGGTAAGGACCAGCCGAGGCCTGAGGAGCTCCGGAGTGCGAAGCGATGCTGCCACCTGGAGCACAGGGCCCGTCACTGACGAGACTCTGTCTCGCACAGAACCTTCATAAAACACTCTTGTTGGCGCTGCTGTACCTCCGCGGGTGACCAAGACAAGAGTTCCAAATGTCCCATGTGGCGAGAATTGCACTACTGCCGAGGGGGCGACAATCCCTCCCCTTAACCATTCTGCTTTCCATCCGTTTTTCACATTTCAGAGCTACGGAACTTGTTTTTCACCGGCATTTCTAGTCCGGTCAGCGACGCCTCCGTGAGGAGCCTGACACGCATGTGCACACCGGAGGGCTCCGCGGCGGCGATGCGGCCCGCAGCCCCCCGCCGCGCCCGCCCCTGCGGAGGCACCGAGGCCGGAGACAGCCGTCCATCTCGGAAGCAGCTGTGCGGAGAGTGCCCCGTTACCCCCCGCATGCCCCAACTGACCCTCGGAGTGCTGCAGGCGGCGGGCCCCGGCCCCGCCCCTTTTAGCCGTTAACGGCTGGGCCCCCCCCCCCCCGCCCCCCCCGCCCCTGCGGAGGCACCGAGGCCGGAGACAGCCGTCCATCTCGGAAGCAGCTGTGCGGAGAGTGCCCCGTTACCCCCCGCATGCCCCAACTGACCCTCGGAGTGCTGCAGGCGGCGGGCCCCGGCCCCGCCCCTTTTAGCCGTTAACGGCTGGGCCCCCCCCCCCCCGCCCCCCCCGCCCCTGCGGAGGCACCGAGGCCGGAGACAGCCGTCCATCTCGGAAGCAGCTGTGCGGAGAGTGCCCCGTTACCCCCCGCATGCCCCAACTGACCCTCGGAGTGCTGCAGGCGGCGGGCCCCGGCCCCGCCCCTTTTAGCCGTTAACGGCTGGGCCCCCCCCCCCCCGCCCCCCCCGCCCCTGCGGAGGCACCGAGGCCGGAGACAGCCGTCCATCTCGGAAGCAGCTGTGCGGAGAGTGCCCCGTTACCCCCCGCATGCCCCAACTGACCCTCGGAGTGCTGCAGGCGGCGGGCCCCGGCCCCGCCCCTTTTAGCCGTTAACGGCTGGGCCCCCCCCCCCCCGCCACGGTACCCCCTGCCGCCTCCGCGGGTGGTGGGACGCGGAGGTAGGCGTTTCCCCAGGCGAGGAGATTTATTAGGTAGCACCTAGCAATAGCATGGATAATAGCAGCGATGTAGCGTATATGTTATTGGGTAGCACCCATCAGTAGTGTACGTGGCAGCAATAATAACTGGGCATCAGCTGAGATTTGACAAGGCCGCTGCCTCTCCCTTCAGAGGTTATTTGGCAAGGATGATTGATGGCATCCTCATGCCACCGTCGTTTCTTGGTGTTTTGATAGGCGTGGACTTGACTAGTCACAGGATTATTTTTTAGCAATAATCCATGGGATGCAAAGCTTGAGATCATTTTGAGGTAGCTGTCAGTTGAAGCTGATGGAGATTATTTTAATTCCTGCCTGCTTTGCTGATCAGGCAGGCCTGGGCAGCTTCTCCGGAAAACTAGATTCTCTTGTTTGAAGAAATGAGTGACTGCTCATCTTTGAAGAAACTATAAAACTGTATTTCTGTGCACTGTGACCTTTTTTTCCCCCCTTGCTTTTATTGTAAATGCCATTTTTAATCGATGTTTCTTACTTTTTTTTCTTCCCTTTGGAGGACGAGAAATTAGTCTAGATGCAGAAAATTGGAAGAAATGGAAGAAAGGAAAATCAAGAGGAGGAGCCCCAAATCATCTACCACTCACCCTGCTCAGGTTGCTAACTCCAAGAAAAACTCAGTGCCAGTCAGTAAAAGTACAGCCTTTTCAAATCCTGCACCACAGCCTGCGGTACAGAAACCAAAGCTAAAACGGTAAGCTTGGAAGCATCTTGCAAGCTCAGGGGAAGTGAGAGCCAGAAACCTGCCAGTGCTCAGACAGTCTAAAGGGTGTTTAGACTGGCTGGGGCAGAATGAGAAGAAAGAGCTTCAGACTCGTGAAAATTTTTGATAATGTCTTTTTTTTTTGCAAAGTGATTTGTGTTTAATGCAATATAACGGTTATTTTACAGAAAAGGAAGGTGCTCAGTACTCTTCTTGTAAGCTTTATAAAATGTTACAGAATGCTGTAGGCTCACACTGATAACAATTTAGCTGAAGAGACGATAGCCTGATGTGACTGGTGAAAGACAAGAGTTGGGTGATCAAATATGACAAATGGTGGGCATTGTATAGGAGATAGCAGAGCCCCAGATGTACAGCTGTGAGGAACAAATAACATATTACATGACTGCAAGGTTGGAACTGACAAGTAGGGCAGGAAATGAAGGATATAAATATAACAGGATGAGCTAGAACCAGAATTTCCGGGTGTTTTTTGTTTGGGAGTCTGTCAGTGGGGGCAGTGGTAGCTCCCAGGTCATACTTGTGTGCAGAGAGAGCCATTCGGCTCTTCAGAAAGTAGCATTTTGGAACATTTTGTGTGTTACTGATGATACATCTATTGCAGTTTGAGAATATTAATTTTTCTGCATGTTAGTATATTTCTTGGCCATGGCAGGTACAGTAGATCAATGAGTGAAGAGGGATTTTAAAGTGAAGTGTTAGCTGGAGAGAGGCAGCCGAGTTTATTGACCTGTAAGCATTAGCAGAAGATTAAATACTGAACTGTCCTTTTTGGCACAGATAGTCTGTTTGAAGGATCCAGTATTGGCCTGATGAATAATGAATTTCTGCAATGTAAAGTCTATACATTCTTTTTCAGGGAAAATTATTAATATTTTGAGGGAAATAATAATAAATACTAATGTGCTATAAATTGGTGGTTTCTGCAGCTGACTGTACGGTTCACTTAGGTCTCAACACTGTTCTGGAATGTACTAGAAATTAATTTCTTGTAGCCTGCAATATTGGCTAGAGAAGAAAATGTCCTTTTTGCTTTAAATTTTGGAAAAGTACATTCATGCTCAGTTGTTAAGTGAAGCTTACCAAGCTGTGATAATGCAGACTATTTCTCAAACTCTTCAAGCAGGAGCAGTAATTGACATAACAATGTGAGGGTGAACTGCTGTTCTGACAGTGGAGTAAGAGCATTTAATTCATTTTCACTTCATCCACAAGGTTCTAATGAAATAAGTTTTCCAGGAGTATTCAAGGGAAGGGTGGGTCTTACTATGCTGTAAGCACTGTTATCTTCACTAATTAAATAAAGCTTCTTTGCTAAGTCTATGACTTTTTTAATAGCCCATAGTATTCTGAATGTTAATTCCTAGGCTCAAAATTTTTCACTGAACCAGATTCTGAACACTCACCATGAGGCTGCCGAAGCAGCCACGCTAGTGCGAGAGGAGGGCTGTGTGCACGTGTGGATGGGCAAGTAAGGGATGAAAACAGTCCCTTACCTGAATTGTATTAGGTCAGGATGCAGTCTGTCTGTCTGTCTATGGGTCAGAGATGGAATATACTACTTCTTGCTGGTAACTGAGTGTTTAGCTTCCATATTGGTTGCATGTTCATTTGGATTTGTAATGATTACTCAGCATCATTCCTATAGTTTCTGTGGGCACATGGTGTCTGAATTAATTTTATGTCTAGAGAAAAATGTATGGAGATCCAGAAATTTTGATGGTTTTGTTGCAGAGGGGGCTTGTAGAGAATTTTTGGCGCGTTTAGCATTTCTTCAGGCATGGACTAGTTCCATTTGGTATGTGTTAGAGGACTGGGAGATTGCTTTTGATGATGAGTTTTACTAAATTTGGATGTTATTTGAAGGTGGGAAGAAGAAGGTCTAGGAAAATTTATCTGGAGGCAAGGTCACCTTCCCGTATAGGTTATAACAAGTTGTTTTTCAGACTGGTTGCAGTCTGTAGGTGTTTGTGACAACAGGAGCGTATGATGGCTGAGGGTTTTTCTCTCTGGATTAAAGAGAGTTTGCAGATGCGTTTTGGGTGATGTTATGTAGATAATGCCCCATGCGCCACATGTCATTGTTGGGTAATGGTTCTCTTTAGGTTATTAAGATTACATATGTATGCTCCGTTGATGTTTCCCACTATTAATAGGAAAGCAGATTGTTGGAATCCTTCATTTTGCAGTATCAAACTGTCAAGGTAGTAATGCTGTTCTTTATTCTTAAGACAAACTGGTGATCCGTTTTTTGACTTAAAAGAAGTGAGTGAAATACATGTTACGCATTTTCCATTTCATTTTTCAAAGCCCAGATGTAGCCTCGTCTTACATTTCAGATTCTCAGTGAAAGCACAAAGTAATCTTTTTGTTTTGTTTAATCATGTATGGTTTTTTTAGTGTAATAAAAGAGAAAGCCAAACCTCCAGGAGGAGAAGCAAAAGGGGCACAGGCAGCACCCATCCAGCATTCTTTTCTCACAGATGTATCAGATGTCCAGGAAATGGAAAGGGGACTTCTGAGTCTCCTGAATGACTTCCACTCTGGCAAACTTCAAGCATTTGGTAAATGCGTGAGTCATCTGTATTCAAATGCCATTTCGTTATGCTTTCCAGCATGGCTTAGCAAAGGCACTGCCTTGGCTTATGGATTTAAGATACCAAATTTAAAAGCAGTTATTTATGATAATAAGGAATATTAAGAAGTAACTGTATTTAGCACCTGATTTTGCTGCATATTAACACTTTATAGACTATTTGTAAGAACTTTCATGTGATCCAATGCAAGTTGCATTTTACCCAGCTTACTCTTCTGTCTTAGCATCTTACTGTTATTACTACTTCACAGTTGATGGAGGTTTCAGAAAAACCACTACACCCTTATGCTTCCTTTTTTTCCCTCTACATGTGCTTTCGCAAGCTTAGTGTTAGATGAGCATGTTACATTAATTCCACACCGATTTTACAAGAGAACCTGAAAAGTCTGTATTATGTAAAGCATCAGTTACAAGAAAGAAACCTCCAAGATTAATGAAAATTAGAAAGAAGGTTTATTGTGATCATATTTAAAGTTAAAAATACAGGGCCTTCCTAAATCTGAGAGAAATGCAGAGTATAGAAGAAAACATATATTCTAAAAATCAGTTTAGTACATTTGGTAGTTATCATAAGTGCAGCACAATATAGCACCAGAAAGGATGACAGAAACGTCAGTCTGTGAAACAGGGAGAAATCACTGAGAAAGCAAATTAACTTGTAAATCTGATGTTTAAATTCTTCGTTTCGGATGTAAAAAGCTGCATCTTCACACCTTTATTTGCTCTCTCAGGTTTTTTTATCTAAAGCTGTTGCTCATCCTTTTAGGAAATGAATGTTCCATAGAGCAGATGGAGCACGTGCGGAGTATGCAGGAGAAACTTGCTCGCCTCAATCTGGAGCTCTACGGGGAGCTGGAAGAACTCCCTGAAGATAAAAGAAAACTAGCCAGTGACTCCAACCTGGATAGACTGCTATCAGATGTAAGTACTGGGAATGCAGAAAACATGGAACTTTGCCCACAGAACTCAGCTCAGGAAAACACCACTACTGGGGTGGGCAGTGACTTACAGTTGAGAACATAGTTCTGTAATGAATGAAGACATAAGCCCTGCCCTCATCTTGGGTTTGAGGAAACACAGTACCTTGTTTCCCTTTTCTGTAGGCTGCTGCTTGTTTTGGTGAGCGGAGCAGTCTGGCTGTAAACTGTCTGAGGATGTAGAGGCCTGTTTAGAGACAGCCAATGTACCAGGGAACTATGACCATTTTCCCCTGTGGTCCATCCCCCGACCTGTAGGGAAGACCACACATAACAAGGAATGTAGATCTCTATACTCTACACTTCCAGTTTCTCCTTTCTCTAGTATGTTTCCTTAAAACCCCAAACTTAAAATTTCTTTAAATTTCCTGATAAGCAGATTTAAATTTAATTTGGGACTTGGCTCTGTTGGTGTAGAGTTCAGTGCAGGTTTGCTTTGCTTTAAGGAATAAAAATCATACATTTCAGCCCAAACTATTAGTGATTTGCTTCATTGTTTTAATGTATTTATCATATCAGCGTAATTGTTGCATTTGACTAACTGAAATGCCATTTCTGATAATTTCTACATTTATATTGCAGCTAGAAGAACTGAATTCATCTATGTATCCTTTTCCTTAAATGTCTATTTTGCATTGTAATTATTAACTGTAATCAAATTACAGTATATTTCCCCAGTAACTGGTGTCTTCACAGGAGTCGGATCACTTCAATAATGTCCTTTTTTTTTTTAATTAGCGCTGTTATACAACACGGTTTTTAGGTTCTTCCAATATATAAATGACTGATCTTAACACTTTTGATTATAGGCCGTTTTTTCATATGTTGATTTATGTAGCTAGCGTGTACCACTTCAGACAATGTGTTGACAGTCAATGGCAAAGCCCATCAGAAGCAGGGTCTTTCTACATGCATCTTGCTGAGACATTCTGGAACAGATGTACATAGTAATATTCCTTCTATAGTATTCAGAATTTTTCTGTCCCATTAATAAGTGAATCCTATTACCTTTTAAGATTTTTCTAGAAGTATGTGCACTGATTTTTCTGTGAGTAGTGGGCTGACCTAATTGTTCATTTCTAGAGTCAGACTATGGTTAAGTCAAATACTTCAGCAGAGCTCTGGTAACTGAACTAATGTGTGCTCTTTGCCCAGCCAGAAGAAGATGAAGCTAAATGTCTTAGTTTGTCTTTTACATCATCCTTTTGATAAGCCAAAGATACAGTTGAGGAGTGTTGTGTTCAGTTTATACTGCAGTCTAGTTATTTCTGATGTTACACACTTTGTATATGTTGAGGTGGGACTCTGGTTTGGGACTTAAGATACTGCACTGGTATATACATTCTGTGTATCTGTGGAGAGCCATTTAAGGCTAGGTCTCATAAAGAACACAGGTGGAATGTGATAACAGTATCACAAAATAGTGATAAAAATAATCTGCCACCCCCCTTGATCCACCAGCTAGTTCTTGAGGTCTTTAATGCTTAAGTCTCATCAAGGAAGATTAATCTACTGGTTGAGAACTAGCATAGGACTTCGTAGAACTGAATTCACCTGGTCTGGTGTGTACCCATGACAGGACTAAGCATGGTTTCATGTAACACTGCTATCTTGTTTATAGCTTATCTGTACGTGAAAATGTTATTCCTTAATGGTTTGCTTCAGCCAAAAACTACATTTAGCTGATGCTCAAGATATTCCAAATAGTGCCACAGGCTGAAAGAACAGCTTTATCAATTTGGATTCTCCCAGAAGCTTTTCTTTTTATTTTTACTGACAGCGGAATCTGGAACCGTTGTTGGTTTGGGGGTTGTTGGTTTTTTGGTGTGGTGGTTTGTTTTTTTTTTAATTTTACATAATGAAGAATCAAAGTGCAAATCCAAGTGTTTATTTTTATTTTTGCACATTCCTCTGAGCACTGCATTACGTCAGGACTCTGTATCTAGAGTTTGAAGTAGGTTGTTGTGATGCTATGCTTTTTATTATTGCCTTATTTAATAGAAAAGTTGGGGAAACATGGAAGTGCATTTCTTCTGCTCAATATTGTTCATACGGTTGAAAATGATATATGTATATTGAGTTCATTAGTATTTCTCCAATTTTTATGAAGGTAGTGATGATGTTGCCTTTCTGATCGGTATGTAGACATTCTGCATACTATATCTTTAGTATTTTGTTGATCACTGATGCAACAGATTAATTTATTGTTAACAAAGCAAAAAATTTTAAATATGACATTTCCTTTAGGGAAGTTGTTATCTGTTCAGCTGTGTTAAGAACATGAGTTCTTGCATGGTCTGAATGTTTGTGGAGTTTACTTTTTTTTATTATTGTGAATAATCATAAAATGTCAGTAAATTAGAACTAGCATGCATTCTGGCAGGCCACATAATTTAATTAAGTATTGTGAAATTCCAAAATTGGGTAAACAGTTATTGTTCAATAAATCCAGTGTATGCAATTTTGTAGTCATTCCTGTGTTATAAATAGTCTGGTATTAATTGGTGTCATCTTTGAGTTTACAGTCAGAAAAAAATCCTGCATTACTGTAAAATCAGGCTAGTTGTAGATCCAAGATTTCTATCCTGGTCCATCAAACTATGCCTTTCGTTCTATATTTTTTATTCAGTTTTTAGGTAATACATGCAGATTCTATATATACTTACTGCACAAGGAATGAAATCTTTATTCTTCTACTTGAGAGCGAAGGTTTCATCAGCTCAAAGTGGGCATGTGGCCAGGGAACAACAGATGCCTGCTGTTTGGCATCTTTGGAGAAAATGCTTCTTCAGCCACAAGATGTAGCTGTGGATTCCATTAGCTCCAGCTCCTTTCGGAATCACGAGTAGCACCAAGTTTGCACTGTGCAGGTGGGGACAGAAAGATCATTTAACCACCACAGTGTGCTTTGGTTACAAATTCAGCCTCACTGTTATTCCCTCCCTCACCTATCAGGCAAATCTCAATGGTTAATGAACCAATAGGGGTCCCAGTTGGGCTTTTCCTTTAGGATGTTCTTGTTCTCTGCGCAATTTATCTCCTTTGGTGTTAAGATTCTCGAGGAGTTTTGCATGCTGGTAAAATTACCACCAGGTCCCAGCCTGCTGCTGGCTATGTACCTGTGATGTTGTGAAATCCAAAGACAGGTTAGGAGAACTAGAATACAACATGATACTCACAAAATGAAGCCAAGGTTTTTTTTTCACTCTTCAACCAAGGAAGAAGAGTCCTTTTCTGCACAGTAACTTCTCCCTGTCAGCACTATGGCCTTGTTTCTCTGCAGACTTCTGAAAATCAAACAAAAAGCAGTGTTTTAGCCTCGTGCCTGGAAGTATGTAAAAGTTCGAGGCTACTTTTGGTGGCAGATGTCACTAGCAGAGCTGCATTTATACAAGTAAAATGACATTCTTGCAGCTCGCCTTGCTTCAGGAGGAGAGCTGTGCCCTCACTAGTGCCTTATTGCCAGTGCTGTATATTGCAGCGTTGTAACGCATAGTGGTCCCAAAACACACTTCTAACCAGTAGTTTTCATAGTTCAAGCTGTTCTACGATAAAGAGAATTCTTTTTCCTTTTGGGGCTCTCTCTAATTCTGCTTAGGCTTATGACTTCAAACACTTTTCAAATAACTTACGTTTGTGTGGTCTGGTGGATGTCTTGGTCTCTAAATTTCTGTAGCAATTTATGCAAGTACATAATGCATAGGTATAATTCGAGATGTGGACATAAACCAATATCTTTCTTGAGCAGCTGTTTAGAATTATTTGAGAATTAGCACCTTTTTCTTTGACTGTCTTAAGGCCACAGGTAATCACAAGTCACGAAGAATGCATTAATTGCAAATAATTAAGAAATGAAAATTCTCTTATCTCCTCCTGGATACACATTAGCATCTTTTACACGCTTTATCTTTTGGATTCATACAAGAAAGTTTTGTAGCAAGATCTTTGGGAGACTGAGCTTTTCTTTTGGTGGTTATAAGCTAATCACATTTCTAGGCTTTCACAGGAAAAGGAAAAAAATCTACTGTAACATATTTGTGGACAGACTTTTGTAATTATAGAAGTACATAAGTGGCTGCATAAAATGAACTACCTTTCAGTTATCTCGTTTCCTGAAAAGTTGTGTCTGGAGATAAAAGCGTACTAACTTGAATGTTTCCTGGCCTGATCTCAAACTGATAAACAGATACGGTGTTTGAAAGAAGATGCTCTTTCCTGAGTCACTGATCTAGATTACCTCACTCCAAGAGACATCTGTGGAACCTCAGTGAAGCAAAAAAAAGAAAATAAAAATCAGGAAGAAAAACCAATAGGAAAGAAAAGTGCCTTAGAGAAGAAGATTTGGAAGAGATGTGGCCAGCAGGTCAAGGGAGGGCCCCTCTCTGGTGAGACCCCACCTGGAGTACTGTGTCCAGCTCTGGAGCCCTCAGCACCGGAAAGACATGGACCTGTTGGAGCGGGTCCAGAGAAGGGCCACAAAGATGATCAGAGGGCTGGAGCACCTCTCCTGTGAGGAGAGGCTGAGGGAGTTGGGGCTGTTCAGCCTGGAGAAGAGAAGGCTCCGGGGAGACCTTACAGTGGCCTTTCAGTACTTAAAAGGGGCCTATGGGAAAGATGGGGACAAACTTTTTAGCAGGGCCTGTTGCCATAGGACAAAGGGTAATGGTTTTAAACTAAAAGAGGGAGGATTTAGACTAGATAGAAGGAAGAAATTTTTTACAATGAGGTTTGTGAAACGGGAACAGGTTGCCCAGGGAGGTGGGCAGAGCTTACCTATCCCAGGGAAGCAGGGCACAGAGTTCACCTCTTGAAAATGAAGATGGCAGCCAAATTTGGCCTAGACCATCCCAAAGCACAAGAGGACAGAAGCAGGCTTACTGCGTGTTAGAGCTCTTTCTTCTAAACGCACTTGCACTTCGTCACTCCTCACACAATTGAATCTGGCACTTAATGTCAAATACACGAATCGGTTCTGTCCATATGCAACGACTGAGTTCAGAAGCTGTTTGGGATTACTAACACAGAACATGTTTTAGCCAGCAATACTTCCTTTTAAATTAATTTAATTCATTCCTTTTTAATTATAAATAATTAAATTCACTGTCAGTGATCTATGCCTTCAGCAATCTCGCTACCGTCATCACAAAACATGGGCTTTATTATCACAGCCCTCTTCATCCTATAAAAAGACAACAGAATACTTAATATGAATGAGCACATACCAAATCCTCTATTGACTTCCCAGAACTACCAACCAACGCGCAGCGTGAAACATTTGATAGAGAGAAGACGACATCAGAGCAGGCCCCACGTGACAACTGCTCTGGAAATGGAGAGAAGATGTTTTTATTATTAGACCTGCCTCAGTGAAGCAGAGCAACCTACGCACAGTTCCAGGCTTCGGCGAGCTCACAGCCAGGGGCTGCGCCAGGCTAACGACTGTTACACTGCATGCAAACCAGCTGCAGATTGTTGTAGTAAAATTGACATAAACTAGGAAAATGAAATGTAAAATGTAATTGAAGCAACCAAGGAAACCTGCTGCTGCTCAAGTCCTCTGTACTGCCCCAACTTTATTTAATTACTTACCTAATATTAAAATAGAGAAGTAGTAACTAGACATGATTTATCTACGATTCAGTTAAGGAACTAACCACCAGACAATGTAGCCGGGTTGATAAGTAGGTTATTCCTATCAAGATAGCGATGAACTGTAGGCCGGGTCAGCAAACCGAGAAAACCACTTGGAACTGCCAAGATTGGAGGAGAAGTAGGTAAAAGGCAATTTTGGCAGGGGGAGATCACGACCCCCAATTCATTGACCCCCTACCCAAATGATACCACCTACTCAAAAGAGAACAATGGAAGATGACGACAGAGTCTGCGCACTAATTTACACGGGAAGTGAAGAAACCTCAACCAATCATTAAAGAGAATAACAATGAATATGTATTAATTGTTTGAATATGTAATAATCAAGGTATAAAAGTGGAGATTTTTGGAACTAAGGTGAGCTCCCATTTTGGGACGAGCACCCGATTTCTGGGCATTAATGGAATAAACTTGGAAATACCTGTGCTCTGTGTGGTATTGGCTTGCACACCAGGTGAAGAACCCAGATTTGGGACAAGGTCAGCTGGCATGTTTTAATTTCTAGGCACCAACCAAGAAAGACTTCATGCTAGTTGCATGTTTGTGTCTTTGCTCTTGAGAATGGGCTACTATTGCTATGCCTTATTGTATGATTTCTTTAAAAATCATTAAAAGCTTGCAGGAAAAAAAAAGTACTACTCCAAATCACATCCTTTCAGCATTGCTTTTGAAGGAACAAAGGATACATCTGTGTCAATCTGGCAGCAGGAAACTGATTGTATCGCTATCTAGAAAACAATGCTCTAGATGTTCAAACTACTGGAGATAATTTCAACACAAAATATAAAGCAACTCTCAGAATGCAATGATTGATAAGGGTAACAGTGTATACACATAGGAAAAAGCATCACCAATGCCAATACCTGTGCTTACGTGATTTGGCTTTTGGTGCACCAACAGCTTCATGGAGGAGCTCAGGTCCTCTCTTCAGCCTAATTAACTAGCTAAGACATTTTTGCCTTCTGGTGCAGCCGTGATTGTTTTCTGCACCAGAAGTACTTGCAATAGATGCACTGTAAAATGTGGTGTCTTTAATTTAATAGAAACCACGAGGGTTTTATCCTAAGAATGCGACTGAAATTTGAAGTTGGCAGGAAACCTGGTTTCTAAGGCATGACAGTTTCTGGAAGTACCAGAATT